CCCGCCGGGCGGGCGGTGCCCCGCCAGCGCCCCTCTCGCCGCCCCGGGGCCTCGGCACCTCCCAGGTGGGGTTTGCGGAGAAACTTCCCGCTGAGCAGCGCTCCGCCGCGTTGTTCTTAAAAAATAATATATATACGGAGAGAGAGGGTAATTGGCCACGGTGCGCTGTAAATTGTACACTTAAGCAATGACATAGTTTTTCCACTTCATTTGGCAAATTTTCCTCCCGCAGCCCATCCCTCCATCACTCTCCCTCTATTAGCTAACAGGTTCAAACGGCAAGGGGAAGGACGCTGATCTGTTCGGGAGGCAGCTCCTCACCGCTCGCAACAAAACCAGCTACGACCAAGGCGTTCTAGACGTTTAACTTTCCAGACCGAGCTTATTTTCCTTGAGCTGAGGTGGGCTTTTTCCCCCCTCTTCTTAAATAACGAGGGTGGTCCCAGCATACTCTATATCGAGACAGCTTTTCATCAGTTGCTCATCAGCATGCTAATTGCTGTATGACTAATTATGCCCTGAATTCCAGTTGATTTTCTTAATGAGACAGCTGGGTTAATTATGTAATCGTATGATTACATTAGCCTAGAGTGCCCTGGCGAAAAGTAACGCAGGCAGGAGCGTGATGTCATTGCACGAGCAGCGCTCACAAGGGGGTGCATTCATTTCTGCCTAATGACAGGGGAGGGCAACGGTACCCACAGTGCTCTTTGTGTAAACACTTATATTGAATTATTAAGATCTGTGTCTTTTTCCAGCTCGCAGAATGAGGGAGGAATGGGGTTTTTTTAAGCGAAACTCACATTGGAAGTGCAGCCGGTCATTGATAGTCCTGTTCTGTCTGCGGGGTTGAGGGTGGGTTTGGTCTGAGCAGTGTGGGGTTGCAGGTGGTGAGGTGCTGCCTCTAGCTAGTCATGCAATGCACTGTTTGGCGAGATCCCTCTTTGCAGTCTTCTTAAAATTACTTGTAAAAGATGTAGTTTACTTGCATACGTAGCCACAAAAAAAAAATAGGTTCTCTTGCGCTGCTATTCAAAAAAGATATCATCAGGGCATATATGTGATGCGAGAATAGTGTGAGAGCTAGAACACTAGCTTGTTTGATGTGAAGTATTAACTGCTATAAAAATAATGTTACATTTGTAACATTAATTTTTTTCACGCCTGTGCTTATTGAGACATGTCCATTCACCTCCTTTACGAGGACAGAAGCTCCTCTGCAAGGGGAGCGGTGTGGTGTGTCACAGTGGTGAGCACAGGGACGTGCTCAGGGAGCTGCTTGTGAAACGGGACCAAAAGGGCAATTCGTTGGGAAGTGAAGGCAGGAACAGGCTTTGCAGGTACTGGTTTAAAATATGGCAGGTATTCTTTCTCATATGGTAGCGTGGATCGGGGATTGGATCCAGGCATGCTGGGCTGCATACTAACACGTGAGGCAAAGGGCTTCTTTGTGGGTGTAGCGTGCAACAAGTGGATCGGGAAGGTAGAACAGAATAGGAAGCAATAGGAAAAAAATACTAAATTTAGTATAAAAAAAGACATCTCAGTTTATTCTTGGGCAATAATGATCTTGCTAAACACTTTTTGAAGTTCTGGATGAGCAGATTCCTTTTACCAACTTTCTCATTTCTTACTTACCTTGTGCCTAGCAGGGATTCTGAACTTCTGCAAGCTAAAGGTTCAAACCGAGAGGATAATTTGTGATGAGTTTTCCACATCTAGGTCTTAAGTGAGGTGATTTTTCTCTTTTACAGATTACAGAAAAGGCATTTCCATCTTCACCTCTCTCCATAAGCTAGTACCACCTGATTTTTTTGAAATGTGTATGCCTGTTGTTTGTGTAATGAATTGAAAGTTTTGGTCCGTTGCTTGTTTAAAAATTCAGTGACCTCCTGTTAAATGACATGAAACATACTTTGTAAGTCTGGTTAATATAAAAAGGTATGCTTTTTCACGCATGCATATGTTGGGAAAAGGAGAGTATTTTTATATATTTTTAAATCCACTCCACTCAGGTTAAGAAAAAAGTCGTTCTGACTGTAAGGTTTATACTTGTTTCAGATTAATTGGTGTTTATAAGTACTTCAGAAATCATGGGGGTTTAGGGGTTTTTTTGAGATTAAAGCTTATGTTGGAGCTTGCCATGAGAAATGAAGTATTTGTCTCTCTGCTCAAAATGTCTTGGTCATTTTATTGTCATGCAATGATTAGTTCTCTTTAATGCAGTTTATAAAAATTAAGTCTAAGAGGTGCTTTTGCCATGGGTTTTTTTTACATGTCCTTAAGCAGTGGCTGCAGGCCATTAGTCCTTCAAATGGGCTCTAGTAAAGTTTGAAGTTTAATGCACAGAGACTGTTTTTACATTTTGTTTGTTCTGCCACTGTTTTGCTACTTGAACATTAACCTTTAATAGAGCTAAATTAAATATACATGTCCTGATGAATAATTATGAGATTGGAAGCATTTTCATTTTGTACATAAAGCTTCTCAGGGATTGCAAATTTGACTAAAGGTTTAGTCATTATTCACTTTATAATGCCCATGTTATTTTTGTCTTTTAATTCTTTACTGATTTAAATATAAAAAGCCCTGTGTATTTGGAGCAAAATACCTATTGCGGGTGTCCTGGCTTTTTACAATGGGCATGTTAAAACGAGGGGGGAAAAGTGCACCCGCAATTTTGTAAAGTTCAATTTCCTTCGTTGTGGCATTTTAACGCTATTTTCAGAAGTATCACAGCTGAAGCTTAAGATCCCTGCCTGGTATATTTTGCGGTTCCTGTAACAATTTAAGACATGGATAGATTGAGACGGTCCGGCCTTTCTTTATGTTCAGCAGATGAATGTCCGGGGCTAGCTCTGTCGGAGAAATGCTGAGCTGCAGAAGTGTGACAAAACGGTCATTCCAGATAAAGGTCGGCAGACCTACATGGGAGAAGGGTGATGTTGTGACAGCCCGGACCTTAATTGGACCATACATAAATATTGCAGGGCCTCTAACTCGTGCTACTGCTGTGACTTAAACTTTATATTTAATTCCTTACCTGTACCCCCGTCTCTGCCACAATAACATTTTAAGTTTGATTTATTATAAATATTTTAATACAGATAATAATAACGAAAAGTATTTGGCCTAAAAAGCATAAATGAAAAAGCTATGTAGTCATAAACTATGTATGTACAGAGAACAGATGACAAGCAACCTAGATTTTGTATTATGAACAGGGTAATGCCATAAGCTGTTGAAGAACCGAAGTAACAAAATGCAGCAGGCTGCTACTTACAATGTCTCTGAGCTCAACATAACCCAGTACTATTCTTCTATAAACTATGAAACAACACTGGCATATTGAAAAAACACACAGGCTCATGCTTAATGTGTTAACAGAGGTACAATAGACTTATTATGTGTTTCCAGAGACTGAGGGTGGTCTGAAAAATTAATGACTGTAGTGGCTGAAAATTAAGCGAACTCCCTAATATATACTGTTGTTGATCCACTGAGTTTGGTGTTTAGCATTCCTCAACAGGAGACTAAATCTTTGCAGCCATTTCACAAGAGATGCTGGCGCCCGTAACAGAAATGTATTCAATAATCTTTTATAAGTCCATCGGACTCCAGCGTTTGCCTATTCTGACTGGGAAGAAGTCCCAGAATAAATCACGCGTGCTCACATCAGGTGTGTGCTAAGGACTCTCTTTAGCAGAGGGGGATGAACATCAGAGAATTAATAGTGAGAGGACATTCAAAATAATTTCTAATTTCTATTCGATTAGTAGTATAAGAAAAAGAGGGAACATGAGTCACAAACCCCAAGGTTCATGGAATTAATTAGTAATCAGAAATATTGTGTGGATGTATTGATCTGTCAATTGAAAAAAGTATAACTCGGATCTCCATGATCAAATAACCTTTTTGAGCTCAGCTGTGCAGGAGGGCACAATTTGCTTCAGAAATTCACGCCCACAGAAGCAGAGGCATGTGAGGGACACTAGCTGTCAGTGAGCTGTGCAGTTTGATTGCTTTTCGCCCAAAAAATTCTCATTTTGCAAACAAAAAATTGAAGCTCAAGACTCTCACATGCCTTGCTATCACGACTGTCTGCACCCAGGGACACGGCCTTGTGGATTAACGCCAGGATGAAGGCGGCACACCCCAGGTTAAAGGGTAACATAGATACAATGACCTATCTCTGGTTTTTGAAGTTTGCAGGATATGAGGTGAGGAACATGCAGGAATAATAACTCAAAGTAGAGCCTTACGGGCATTTCAAATGGATATTACTGGAGAAAAAAGGACACTTGTGCTCTGAACTGTGTGAGTCACAGAAGTGTTCCTGTTATCTTACATTTTCTTTTACTGTTTCTTTTTCAGATCCGGTTCCAGCCTTGGATTTAGGACAGCAGCTTCAGCTGAAGGTTCAACGTATGCACGATATTGAAACAGAGAACCAGAAACTTAGGGAAACCCTAGAAGAATACAATAAAGAATTCGCTGAGGTGAAAAATCAGGGTAGGTTGCAAATGTATTCGTTTATCAGCTTTTAATGCATACTGAAATTTGAAGACTGGGATTAAATTCAGTTTTATTTCTTATGGGTAGGGTTGACAGTAGCATTGAAATTCAGTAAAGAAAGTGTAATAGTCTATTACAGCCACTTCTGTGTTTATGTGTATAGGTGTGACTTTGGGTTGACTCTTTGGATTTCTGTAAAAGTTCCATCTTCTGTAGCACCAAGTCAGAGAACGTAGCTGTTATTCTGCATATTCGGTTGTAGCCTTCAGCGCTACCTGAAAATTGCACCCCTGACTGAAGTTATATGTAGACATTTTATGAGAGATGGTGCTGCTGCTGACATCAAGCCGAATGTATGTGTGGGCATGTGTAGCACATACCTTTTACACAGACACACACAGAAATCCAGTATTTTATACACATACACAAATCTGTACAAAATGGAACTTTTTCTGTACTCTGTTTTTCCTTGTCTAAATCTGAAAAGTGTTGCTGGAGTACATTCAGCATACGTACTTTATATTTACTCTAGAGACTATCCATAGAGCAATGTAAATACAAGCTAATGCTGCTTAATTATTTAAGTAAGTTTTAATGAGACCAGAGTACATGAAAATACATGAAAATCTCAATGAGATTTAAAGCCTGTTGTGTTTAAGACTGTGCCATTTTTCTTCTGATTCAGAAGAAAGTTTCCTGCACCAGGAAACAGAATTTGCTCAGTTGTACACCTGCTTGCCTATACATGGGACTTTTCATTTCCATGTTTAATACTCAGCTCTGGGTTGTGGAAAGGTAAATTTTCTAGGCATTTGGGAAAGTGTTCGGAGTTGTTTTTATACCGTGGAACTGTTGCACCAAAGTGGATAACATTTGAAAGCTACATTAGCAACTAAGTCGGTTCTGTTACATCTCATTTTCAGCAGAAGGAGCATATATGCAGTTACATATTTTGTTTTGGGTGTGACCTATGGAGAGGACAGGTATCAGCATGCAAGGATTCAGGCTGGACTGCAAAAGATGTCATGTGAGAGCCACAATGCTCTAAGCCCAACAGTATTTTTGCTGGAAATGTACAATAATTGCAGTTCACAGTGCAGAGTTCCTGAGGCTGTGCATCCTGTACATCCAGCATGACATAGGGGTTCGTCCCAGAAAGCGGAAGAGATCTCGACTTCCAGAGTATTTTGCTGCAACCACTCATAAACTGGCATTTTTTATTTTCCCCGGTGTGCACTAACTTCCTTTTTGTTTTGCCACTGTAGTCTTTGCATTGTTTTTCTCTCCAGTGCAATAGTTTTGCACTCTATTTCAAACAGGGATTAATAAGATACCCAGGGAAAAGCCTGTTGTTAGCTAAGGGTGCTTTGATCAGTTAATCTCTTTGTTTGGAGGGCTGTGTAAGAGCTATGTGGTTCCTGTAAGAACTTCTTCCAAAACTGGTATAAATGGCAGTGGCTAACAAGCTTTAGCTGACCTGCACAGTAAAGAAGGCACTTAGTTCTTGGAGCAATGTAAAGGATTAAACTGTGCTGGTCCAACACATCCATTGTTAGATGCCTAAAGGTAAAACCAGAATTTGTTACAAAAGCCATAATTTTTCCCCATATTTATGCGCTTCTTGCGTTCATTTTTGTAGTTTTGTTTCCTTTTAAAATGAAACATTAAAACCTTGTCAAGATGCAACTATATGCATTTCCATGAGACTATTTAACTCTGTGCTTCTCCATATACCCCAATACTTCTGCAGATTTGTGATTCTCCAGATACCTGAATACTTTTGCAGATTTATGTCTGAAAATACCTGGAGCAAAGGTGTCTCCAGTACAAAGAGTACATCATTCGTCCGTATGAATGAGCATCCTTTTGTCTGTCTGAAGGAGCATCCTTTGCTTATTCAGGAAAAGATCAGAATTTGTATTACTTCCCGGATCTCAGAGAAGAGTTTCCCTTTGCTTAAAAAAAAAAAAAAAAGTGACATGTCCTTTTCACAGCTTATTACTCAGTCATGAGCCTCATCTGATTTTTGCACAGCTAGCAAAATCCTGCTCCTTCATTCAACAGCAGCTGGTTTGCTGGCAATCATTTTTACCACTCTTCCCCCCGTTTTTTGTGGTCATGGTGGCCCAAGCTGCCTTTGGTGTAATTCCCAGAGAGCAGACCATGTCACCTGCTATCTACTGTCTGGCTTTACAGTTCTCTACTCAAGTCTAAAAATCCAGACTTTGATAGCATTATGCATGGTTTTGTATGATATTATTGAGATTTTTTTTTCCCAAGTCTGTACGCTTTACTTTTTATAGTAGAGTTCATCTTTCTATGATGTTTCTGCAGAATGAGAAACTTCTTGTGTCCAAAGGTGTTTTTTCCCAAAGCTTTGTTAATGGCATCTGTTAATAAGCTGATGCCTTTAAACCACTGTATCTCTGTGTAAGTCCATTGAAATGTATTGCTAGCTGCGAGTCTTCTGGCAGTCTAAGGCTTTTTCCAAATTCCATTATTGTTACAAAGCATACTCTGGTGAATGTCCTGCTTTTCCTCTTATGAGCCCTATAAGGATTTGGTCCTTTCCTGTGGGTGGGATCAAAGGGCTTTCACGTAGGAACGTATCAGGGCACATAACAAGATGCTGTCCGTCAGAGGCTGGGCTGTAACTCTGCAGGTTTATGCATCTTCTCTCATCCGTTACCGGGTAAATGCAAGATAGCTTTTCTTTATCTGAGAGAAGGGTTTCTGCAAATTCCCTGGAAGGCTACAAGTGCACTCAGAAAGTTATAGTTAATGCTTGTGCATAAAACCCGGTGTCGATGACAAGGCAGTTAGAGGAACTAGAATATGAAGGGTTCCAGAGTGTCTGTTGAATCTGATCTGCTGTTAATACAGCAGTTAAATCCTAACTGCCGTATTTTTCATCAGTTGTGAAGCAGAACATAGCTGTATCCCAGATATGTGTTCAATTAGTGTTAGATTGCATCTGTGCATGAACCATAGTAAAACTGCCTCTTTTTACATGAGCACAGTTATGTGAATTAACTGTCCTATGTGTAAATGCATACTTAAACCTACACTGGAACTTTATTAATCTCCACTTGGCAGTGAGCTAATTTGAGACTAGTCAATAAGGGGATATTATATTTTGCAATTTATTCCCCCCCCCTTTTTTTTTTTAAAGTCATGTTAGAGGAACCTTCTTCACTCTGCTTTCCAGCAAACTCCATTGATCCTTCTCAGCCTAAACACTTAAAGTTCAATTTAACATTTAGGGAGTAAAAGGTCTCCAAAGGGACTCCTATCCATTGATTTTGTGTCAGAGTTGAAGAGCTAAAGTTTAAAACACACTGAGCCTACAGGGTAAAGAAAGCCTTGTGTTGTGGAACCACGTGGAGCTGCGTAAACTCATTCATCCCCTGTTGTTTTTCTGTAGAGGTTACAATAAAAGCACTTAAAGAGAAAATCCGAGAATATGAACAGACCCTGAAGAACCAAGCGGAGAATATAGCCCTTGAAAAAGAACAAAAGTTACAAAATGATTTCGCGGAGAAGGAGAGGTGAGTGTGCATGTGTGCGTCTGTAGGTATCGTAGAGGAGGAGAGATGTATTTTTCTGTTTAATCTTCCCAGTCAGGACTCTCTTTCAGTGTACTGAGACAGCTCATATATTGAGCGATTCTGGTGATTTATGTGTTTGACACGGAATCATTTGATACTCAACTTTGCACAGAAAAACAATGGTGAAAGTGTGGAAGTAAAACAAGGACAGATTGTTTCTTCGCGGTAGTGTTGTGTGTGGGGGTGTCATGTTCAGAAGGGTGCAAACCTGCTTTTATTCTTCACTAGCTGTATTGTCCTTTGTGACACTAATCTTTCTCCATTAGCCAACAGTGTAATTCAGTCTGCTGTGTCCACGTTGTGTGTCACAGTACCATTGTACAATCTGTACAACCCTGAGCTGTTTAAGATGAAACACTGTACCCAAGAGCCTGGGTAAAAGATGCATCACCCCTGCTCCTATGGTAATGTCTAAGAGAGGGGATGTGTTCCTGAATTATCCTGAAAAGGTTTGCATATTCCTACATGTCAAAATTAAGAAGTATTTTTGATTATTTATTATTGATTTTTGGAAGCATCTCAGATGCATTTCTAATCTTTTGCAAATGAGCAGGGAATGTATGAATCTTGTAGGTTAGGGGGCAAACAAATCAGGCAAGACAAGACCAAGGGTGTTAAGAGGGAGTTCTTTCAGGCTGCGTTCCCTACCTTGCAAATTTATTTCTCCCATGGAGCAATAACACTGAAGCTATAATATGTTCAACTTAGTGTGGAAACCCTTCAGTTTACCTGAGCTTTTTAGTTGGTGGGTTGGTTGTTTAAATTCAGGTCTGAGTGGGAAGAATCTACCGGTGAATGCAAAGCTTTTTTTTAATTCATCGATATCTGTGGTTACTTTTTGATAAGTAGCAAGTAAGTGCAATTTAGATATGCTTAAAAATAAAATAAAATGGCAGGTTGTGGAATGCAAATAAAAGTGTGTGTAAGAGAGGTTTTGAGTTCTCAAAGTATGTAATTTGGTATGAAGGGAACTGACACATGTTTCTTGCTGTAAATAGTTATTAACCTGGTCATCAGTGTTGGAGAATAAATTTATGCACCCTATGGCACGCAAGTAGGATGCTGGTAGTTTCATAAGCCATTTCACAATTCTGAAATCTGCAGAATATCTTAAAAGCAATATCATAAAAAGCAGCAACTCCTGGGAGACGTTGTAGCAACTCCCTTTCAAAGATGAGTTTTATAACTCCTATAGTCTAGCCTTTAGCAAAGAGTGTAGTGACTATATGGCCAGATGATGTTAAAACATGTATAACTGACACAAACAAGAAAATATTGCCTGTCGGCATGAGAAATGTGAGCATATTAAAGGTTTGCTCATGTTATATAGAAAATATCAATGTGAGATTTGTTTTGAAATATGTGTGGTTTTTTTTAAAGAGTAGCTAATAATACTACTGCATTTGGCATCCATTACAGCTATGATGAAACAGCTGCCGCATCTATTCACTATATCAGTTATGGCAACAAATTTCTTCATTATGACAGTAAAATGGAAATGTATCATTCTTCTTGTACTAACTTTGTACAACAGAGGGTGCTTGGTGACAATTTTCTTAATGTGTGTGACATTTCCAAAACAAATTATGCTCAAGAAAACCTTCCACTGAAGTTGTCATTTATATAGCAGTCAACTCTTGTATAATGTTCACAGCTTATGTTATGAGGTGGCTACACTGTTAAAATTTTAATAAGTGGGACTGCAAAGTATGAACGGTATTGCAATGTGACATGATTTATGGGTCCCATTGAAGCACCTTGTAGTCTGTGTGGTGTTGTCAGTTGTCTGATTACAGTTGAGACATTTAATCACTCTATCTTCCAAATTTGCAAAGTACAAATAAGTTTAACATGATTACAAGCTCTGTTCTCACCCCTTCTCTTCCCTTTATAGAAAATTGCAGGAGACACAGATGTCGACAGCCTCGAAGCTGGAAGAAGCCGAACACAAAGTTCAAGCTTTGCAAACAGGTTTGGCATTGCTATTCTGACCTATACCAATGATCAGGCTGGAGGTGAGAGGATAGAGATCACTAAATGTATCAGGACTGTGTGAACCACCTATTGCAAGCGCAGAGAGATTCAGCAGAGCTTGAACGTGCTTTGTAACACTCGTGTTACAGCCAGCCTATTGGTAAATACAGTGGACAAGGCCAAGCATGAAACATGTACAGCATTAGAGCATCACTGCAATTAAAGCAGGCCATGGAACTTTTCATGTATGTTGTGTTTTGCTCTGGTTTCACACATTTCTGAACTATGATAAATACATGTAATGATCTGGGTTCACTATGAACCCGGTTTCTACCACTGTGTCCTGCCTGTTGCTATGACTTGCTTGCCATTAATTTTCATTTCTGCATACTTACAGATTCCAGGTCTGGACACATTTGGTTTTCTTTACTATGAGAACACAAGAAATTTTATTCCCTGAATTACTGCAATAAATATTTCAAATGAATAAGCAGTTTAGCCAGCTTAATAAGAAATTAATAACGTCTAGCTATGCTAAGCAGAAACTGGAAATTTTTGCAACGTAAAAGAAATACCATAAGAAGTTGTGAAAAATCAAAAGCTATGTTTTTTCTAAGTCATAATGGTTTGCCTAGGTTGAAAGATAAAGCAAAGAATTTTTCATCAGGAGGTGTACAGATTTATTTATGGCTGAATAAAAGAAAAAGGAGTAGTCTTTTTGCTTTTCACTGCTGTTACAGTGCTGTAATGCTTCATGTTTATGCCTTTTAGCCTTGGAAAAAACCAGAACAGAGCTATTTGATCTGAAAACAAAATACGATGAAGAAACTACTGCAAAGTAAGACTTCACTGTTTTCTTTCTATGTCTTCCTTCAGGGTATCGCTGCTTTTTTGTTTTGCATCTGTCTGTTGGAGACAGATGAGATGGAAGAGGTTCAGGAGTCCAAATTTGTTGAAAAACATGGTCATAATTTGGCCTCCTATAGAGAGATTATTAGTTTTCATATTTTCTTCCACCCAACAAGACACTTCTCTTTGTGCACATGCTGCTTCATTCCTGGTTTCATTCTCAGGTGCTGCATCTACTGTGTATCTCGTATACTATGTATCTCTTATACTTTATTTAGAAATAGGGCCATTTCAGAAATAAGTATTTACTGTGATCTTCCAATCTTGGTGAAAATAAAATTTAGTTTAGTAAAGGATTTCTGTTTCACAGGCAGGCACCCTGGTTCTTTTTGCTTTTGGGGTAGCAGTCATCACTCTGTCAGATTCACCCCAAATTACAGAGAGTAGGATTTTTGGCAGATTTTTCTTGTTTTCAAGTAGAACATGAAGGTAGTCTCAAAAGTACATATCCTTGTCCTCTTAATGGCTACTGTTTTCAATTATCCCCTGGTTTTATTAACAATCAGTGCAGGAAACAACAAAAGAGAGACAGACTTCTGCTCTTTTTCTTTGAACCCTTCATATTTAGGGAGAGTTAGTAATGAGAAGGAATTCTCATGATCAGCAGTATTAAGCCCAAAGAGTCATTTCTGTGTCTGGAAATGGGGTGGATGGGATGGGAAAGAAGCAGCCATTTCAGATGGGTGTCCCTGGCCTGCTGTAAGGGCAGGGGTTGGAAGATGCGTGTCATATCCCTGTGCCCACTCCCCACGTCCCGCACAGCAGCAGCTTCACCTCCACTTCCAAGTAGGCAGGTGATCGGGTGAACAGAGAGGAAGACCGTTGCTCCTGCCCTTACCACCCATTCTGGTACAGGAGAGATGGTACGGGAAGGCTGTTGGGCAGTCGCCGTGTTGGGGCAAGAGAAACTATAGCCTAGGCTTGATGGGAGGGATGACATGGTCTTGGTTCGGTCTGTAGGCAGGGGCTTTCTGGTATGGCTCATGGCAGCCTAGAAGATACAGGTTTTTCAAAACCAGTCAAATTGGCCACAAGTTTTAATTTCTTAGTGTGTGGTTCTGTGAGCGTTGAGGATCCAGTTCCCCACTGAGTACATGGGGAACTTGGAGCTTACAAAATTCAGTCCGTTGTAGTTAAGAATCAGCGCTTGGAGTTTAAACACCTTTTACGTCATTCAAGATAATCTTTTAGGTAAATTTTGGTTTTGCTCTGCAAGTCCAGTTTCCTTTGAGTTCCATATAAGGTGATCAAAAGTATTCTTCTTCCCTCATTGATTTCATCCTTCTCTAGGAGATGCATATTAATGATGTTTCTGGTGGAGCCTTAAATTACTGCAGATTGCCTTTATTTTTTTTTTTGTGCACGTAACTGATGCTGGCAGCTCTGTTGCTGTTACTTTGTCTTGCAGTTGCTTCTGTGGGAACAGTCAGAGATCAGGGCTCAGTGGTTGTAGGCACTGAACCTAATAACCCCTCACCCTTTTTAATGTCTTTATTTGCAGAATGTTTGCTTCATTTTTTAATACTATTTCCCTAAGTACTGTAATTTATCTTATACTGAGCAAAGGGTGTACTCTAAAATGTTTGTTTGTGTTTCTAATGTGTTTCATTCTTTCAGACAGATTCACGCGGGAATATTTTCCTATGATCTTGAATATGATTCTTAATATATATAGAATTACAGAAAATTAGTAGCATCTGCAGTAACAAGAAGTTTATTGTGTTATGTAGTAGAATGATTATGAAGGCTGGGTCTAGAATATAGTGATCATGGAGCTGAATCCTGAAGCAGACATTAAGCATGTACTTTATCTCCCAAACTAATGTACTGTGAAAACAAACTTGTAGGACCTAATAACAGCAGAAATATTTTATCGTTGTTCTGGATATTTATGGCAGGAAGAGTTCTTGCATAACAGTCATCTGTAGCGTTTGTAGCCCAAATTTTGCAATATGGAAATCTAGAGAAACATGAAAAGGGAACTGAATGTAGACGGTGAAATTGTCATCTATTTTAATTGTAAAAGCTGGGGGAACTGTTGAAAAAACACCAATAAAAACGGTGAAAGACGGTTTGATTCTTTTCTAAAAAGAAACCCTCTTTTGATCTAAGTCTGAAAAGCTACTTGTATTGCCAATTTTAATTTTATGTTTTAAAAACATGTGATTTTTATCTTAGGCCAGAATTGTTAGTTTTACAGACGCTTATTTGATGCAGATGAATTGGAGTGCCTTCAGGAAAAAAAAGATAATTGTCAATTTTTTTTTTTAAAGCCAACAGTGCTTTTAAGATCTTCAGTTTTGGAATAAAGCTGTCTTTCAACTGTTTGTAACTTCGAAAATCTTTGAAACGGAAAAGAAAAAGAAGCAAAAGAAATCCATAGTAAGAAGTGTTCAGCATCAGCATTAAGGAGTCTGGATTTTGTCCTAGCAACTGGTTGACTGGTTGTTGTGATCTTAAAGTTGGAAATCATTGTGTCAACTTGTTTGTTTATCTTTTCAAAATGTCCCCGTTCAAAGTACTACATGCAAAGTGAGGTAAAGGGGTACCGTCCGAACTTGATGCTAGCAAGGCATCTTCAAATGAGATCAGTTGCTGAAATTAAAATCTTCAGATTAGCTTGTCATCCCCGTCTATAAAAATCCCCCGTTCCCTTTGCCAGCGAGCAGGTAACGCGTGTACAGCGGGAGCGGAGGTGCTGCCTGTGCCCCCTCCCCTGGCCCCGGCGGCCCGCAGATACCCCGCGTGCAGGGCGCTGAAGGTGTTAATGACAAAAAGAAGTTTATTATGTGCAGTCATTGCAGTCTGTCAGCTGGAATATCAGAAGCTGAATTTGACAAGATGGCAGCAGCAAAGTTTTCCATGTGTAGGCTTGAAGTAAAATGTAATTAGCCTTTATGTGCAGAACAAGGATCCATTGATGAATACAGCTGGTCTTTGTTTTCTTCTGTCATTGAGTGTGGGAGGTAAAAGTGTTCTTCTTCATGTTTATTAATACAAGATTCCTTAGACAAATGGCAAGCACAGTTTAATATTTGTTGGAACACAGAAGGGCTTGCCAAAACAGTTGTTGTGTAAGAGGATTTCAAGGTTTTCAGATTATAATCATCTCTGGGTTAAATAAATGAATGATTACTCTGCCTTTTTCAATTAAAGAGGCACATTCTCTCTCGAGGCCTGATACTGATTTTGTTTGGTGTCCCACACGTTTCTATCAGCAAACCTGGATTTAACACACACTAATGAGCTTGATCTGGAGATTCTATCAGAGCTGGAACTGAAAAGCAAACTCAGACTGGAGTTTCAGGAAAATTAAAGAATGTTGGGTGGTTTTTTTTTTCCTAGTGCAACAGACTTTTTTTTTTTTTTCCTCCTTGGTAGAAAAAGAAACATTCTTGTGTGGATTTCCTTCATTTTCTGGGGACAAACTGTTCTCCTTGCTAACATTGCTTTTTTACTTCTGGTTCACTCCAGAGTCCAAGCAAGTGTTTGGGATTCCCAGCTGAGCTGTTAATGCTCCCAGCCAGAATGGTCGAATTCCAGTTTTAGATCAACTCCAGAGCCACCTCTTTGCTCTGACCCCTCCTCTCCCCCAGCCTAAATGAATTCTAATTGGAAAAGGATCTTCGGTTGTAGCACATACAGTAGGCTTGTTACATTACTGTTAACATGTGGGTTGAGGCTCCCTGCCTTTGATGAAAGAAAATATTGAATTTCACTGAAATGCTACATTTTCACCAGTAAATGTTAAGTAGTCTTGTGAGGATTTTAGGTGCTGCCCCCCCCTTCTGCAGTAAAAAGCCTTCATAAACAACACAAAGCAAAAGATGTTTAGGTTAAGGTTGTCAGTCAAAGCAGCTCTGCTACCAGTTCTGTTACCTATATGGTTTTCTGAAAGATGCAGAGTTTTTGTTCTTCTGAAAGTAGCGTATGCATAGGAAATGCAGTGGAGGAGGAGATTTTCATACGTACTAAAGGAGTCATCCTAAAACAACTACTTTCAATAACTTTTAGAAAAATATTTTGCCTTCTAGTATATGAAGCAGAGAATTGTTGCCTTTTTATAGATTAGACTGTTTATTATCTTTTTTGGCAACACAGCTAAGGGTGACACAGGAGGACATATTGGTGTAGCATCATTAAGACTGTACACTGGTGTAATATTGCAAATTTCCCCACCGTATAGATCCAGCCGACTTCTTTTAATCCTGGACTGCATTTTAATGAAAACTAAATCTGGAAATGAACAGTGTGGTTGACAGAAGTGAGGTCTGCGAGCTGGCAGTCCCTGCTTTACGATAAAGGAGAGTTTTTCATTGTTTTCAGGCCTGAACCTGTAAACTTGACTCACGAGATTTCAATACCTGTATTTAATACTTCTTTTCTTGCAGTGGTCATAGACCTCGGTCAGCGAGGCTTGGGATAGCGGGGTGGGCACTGTGCCCGTATCTCTTAACAAAGGCCGTCTCTGCCCTAAAGAGCTTACGGCATGATATCATGACAACGTAAAAAGTTAATGGAACAAGTAGGTAGAAGCTCAGAAGTGGGAGGACAAAGTAATGCCTATTTTCATCCCTGATAGCCTGCTTGAAAATAAATCCTCAAGTAATCTGCAGAAAGTCCGAGGTGGGTGACAGATGGGGAGTGCTGGGGCAGAGGCAGGCGGGAGGGACAGCGGGCAGGTAAACAGCTCCTCGTGTTACCTGCGCGCAAGCGCAAGGCGCTCGAGTCCCCGGTTGTGGGGAAAGAAAGAGGTTTCATGGATTATATGCCAAAAATACAGTAACAGAGGGGGATGTCTGTGGGTTTTGGCTGTTTGGGTGAAGGGCGCTCCTCTTCCTTACTCATTATCAAACAGACCTGTTCTTCAGGCATTAGTCTAGAATAAAATTGTAAAGGTGTGGCTTTCTGCATGGAAGGAGTGTAGGA